CGGAGATGTGGGTGCAGGAGGCGATGACGGGGAGTTGTGAACGGATGTGGTGTGACGGGACAGAGACAGAGAGGAATAAATAAACACCATGAAGAAATGTGACGGAAATGTGACGTGACGGAGAGATAAAGACAGTAAAACAGACGTAAACAAACACGACGTGACGGGAAGTATCGACGAGGTAACGAGATGGGGAGCTTATTATTTGTGACGAATTGTGACAGAAGTGTTTTGTGACGGCAGGACATTACTATCGCAAAAATACAACTAAAAATACTGAAACGTCGTAATTTCACCATAAACTTCACCCTGTAAACAACACCACCAAAGAGACACATTGTTCCTTGCCTCCACTTCTATCTGGTACGGTAACTAGTGTCGTTTTTTCTGAGATGTTAGCAGCGCTGTGGAAATCTATATCTAACATCCTTAATCTGGCTTCTATTGTGAGGTTCTTTAAGGAACCATTTTGCAGAGTTATAATACGATGTAAACAAACACAGCAATGCCACATCTCACAAAACGCCCCGGACTCTGTATTAGGTATAACTGAACGCGACTGTACACACACATAAATTCCTGAAAATCAACAACAACAAAGAAACAATAAATGACATGGAGGTTGGCTATAAATGACATGAACGTTGATGTATAAGAGAATGGGAGAAGGGATCCAGTATCATTTGTTCAGTCCCTTAGAGGATTGAATCACTTACAAGGCGGTTTGGATCCGCTCTTTGTGGAGGAGACCCCAGGACTCTTATACTTCCTCTTCCTCTTCATTCTTATATTGCTTCTCGATCCTCTTTTGTTTTCAAGTGAGATTGATAGATGTATAGGTAGACAAACTATATGGTGTGGTGTAGGATGAGGGTGATGGTGAGGGAGTATAGTGGTGATGGTGAGGGAGTATAGTGGTGGTGGTAAGGAGTGAGGTGGTCAGGGAGTGAGATAGTCAGGGAGTGAGGTAGTCAGGGAGTGAGGTGGTAAGGGAGTGAGATAGTCAGGGAGTGAGGTAGTCAGGGAGTGAGGGAACACATTCATGGAAGTCGTTAAGAATTTCTACATAGTTTCACATGAACCAGTTAGTCACATCTGAGAACCAATTATTCACCCACGGACCAACGCACGGACCAACGGACGGACACCTATTACCACTCTCCTCTTTGTTTTGAAAGGACGTACACACGGACCACTACGGCCAAAGTGTAAACAGTAAACAACAGTAATACCAACCTCACACCCCATACAAGTTACTATTGATGACACGATGTTCTTAACCCCTTAATGGGTGGTGGTGGCTGCGGACAGGTTGGGCAGCCATGTTTACCCACCTTGGCCACCCACCCACCCAGGTTTTGAAGTCTTAAAAACCCCCCCCTCAAGTGACCTATCTCCCTTCACACTTGACCTACACGACAACAGATCCTCCCCCGGAAAAATGGCTACAAACACACACAGAGACTCGACTTAGAAACTATAAGGGAATAAATAATCTTGGTCATAAAGTCTTAAAAATATCGTAAGGTAGAAAGTATTCATTAATAACTCAACAGGTATTTCAACCTTACCTGAGTTAAGTTTACGAGACCCAAAGATGAATTCTCAGAGGGTCGTAGGGGCAAGTCTTATCTCCTCTCCCCCCCCACATCCCTCTATCCTTCACCCCACCATAATTGGAGATGAGAGAATGGTGTCGAGTTGTTCCTTGACACCATAACATTCGAGAGATGATGGTGACTTACAGTGGCACAATATAGTGACTTAAATTTTTCTTATATGTATATGATTATTATTTTTTGGTTCTTTTTACCTTATTTAGAGGAAGGGAAGGAGAGGGGGAGGGAGGAGGAGGGAGGGAAGAAGTAAAAGGAGAGGGAGAAGACTGGGGAAAGAAGAAATTAAAAGTAAGAGAAAAAAGGGACAGGGAAGAGTAAGAAGAGGAGGAGGAAGAATAACAAGAGAAAGAAGAAAACAAAGAGAGAGGAGGGGAATAACATGAGAAAAGAGGAAGAGGAGAGGAGAAGACGAAGAGAAACAGAAATAAACGTAGGAACCTTGTGTGGGGCCGTGGCATCAATACCTCCAGTAGGAAAAATCACATTAATGACAAGAATGACAAGACTAATCCCGGGCATCAGGAACCTTGAGTACAGAGACAGGTTAAAGCATCTTAATTTACACTCCCTCGAGAGACGTAGAGTGAGGGGGCGATATGATGAGAGGTGTATAAATGGAAGTCAGGGCTAAACAAAGGGGACGTACAAAAGGTACTCAAACTATCAACCAGGAGCGAACTCGTAACAATGGTTTTAAAATTAGACAAATTTAGATTTAGCAGGCGTGAGATAGGTAAACACTGGTTTAGAAATGAGTAGTGGAACAAGTTACCAAATATCATCATTAACTCCTAATACGCTGGATAGCTTCAAACATACTGTAGGTTGGATGGATATATGAGCAATAGGGGTTGGGTGTAAACAGGACTGTCAGTATGACCCGCTGCTGTTTACTCCAGTCTTATGTTCTTTGTTAAGTGAGACGACTAGAATTAGTAACATGATTATGGTGAGGTGGGTGAGGGGGGTTGGAGGAAGGTGAGGAGGAGGAGGTCATGGGGTAGGGTGGAAGAAAGGGTACCTCAGGTGGATGGGGGGGCGGGGGGTGAGAAGGAGTAGGAAGAGGGGGGATGGGGAATCGAACTAAAAGAGTTAGGGGTCTCGAGGATGGAAGAGTTCAATAGTTAGATATTTCCCTGTCAGTAATGTTGGTGGTTCTTTACGATGCGTGATCATGTGAATGTCATTATACCATAAGAGGTTGTAGGTGTTCAGGCCATTGTTGTTACAGGGTTAAAACAGTTATCAAAGGGTTAAAACAGTCATCAAAAGTTAAAACAGTCATCAAAAGTTAAAAACAGTCATCAAAAGAGGTTAAAACAGTTCTCAAAGGGTTATATCATCGTCCACCACGGGGTTAAATCATTATCTTCAAAGGGTGAAACCATAGACCTTAAAAGGGGTTACACATTCGTCGTCCTCAAAGGGATTAAATCATCCCTGGTGAATCCACCTAACTGTAGTGCCTCCACTCCTCCCTCTTTTACCTCCATCCATGCCTTCACCATTATATTAATTCCTCATCCTCTCCTCTTTCCTCCTTCTCTCCTCTCCTTCCCTCCCCTCACCATTGTAATCCCAGCCGGAAGTAAATCACGCCCCGCCATCCCATCTGGTGCTGACAAATGCATTCACCTCCTTCAAGATTAATGGGGCTACTTATGAAACTGGTAGTCTCTCTCTCTCTCTCTCTCTCTCTCTCTCTCTCTCTCTCTCTCTCTCTCTCTCTCTCTCTCTCTCTCCACCTCACAGCACACCCACCTGTTTTACCTGGGCGCGAAGGTGTTAATGAGAACCCGTGTGTAATAACGTTACGCCACACTAAACATTTAATGCACCACAGGTAAACTTGACCCCTCCACCCCACCCACCTGCCACCCACCTGTCACCACCATCCTCTTCAACCCCACCCCCTACCCACCCTCCTCCACCTTGTCTTGTTGTTATGTCACGTCACAGGTGTTTGATAATACATATCTGTGTTGTGTCGTCACCCCACCACTAGAAAGAAGGAGGAGGAGGAAATTTAATCACGATTCTAGCTAACTGGCCTTCTTCTTCTTCTTCTTATTCTTATTTTTATTCTTTAACTATTTCTTCTTCTTCTATTCTGTTTCTGTGTGTCCTCAAAACACACACACACACACACACACACACACACACACACACACACACACAGCAGGTAACGGAGATGGGGAGTGAGGTGGGGGGTGAGGAGCAGAGAGAAGGGTGGAGGTATTTGGATTACTCTGGCCTTAATCGCCAACAAGAGGGGGGGTGGGGAGGAGGGAGGGATAGATTGAGGGATTAATCGTATAAGATGGCCAGTGGCGATTTATCTCTCAACTTCACGAGATGCTAGTGGAGATTTATCGCCCATCCTTATAGAGATGCCAGGGGATTGCTTGACCTCAGAGGCAGAAGGTGAATTTAAGAGATTACTCGAGAGATGTGGGTGGAGATTTGGGGGAGAAAGGGAGAATTTAGGGGAAGGGGAGGAGGTAAGGGTGTCGTCAGTAGGACTGAAACCAAAGGGATTTATCTTCTGCTGGGATTACTAAGTTCTTTATTTTGCGAGGTTAGGTTAGGTTGTAAGGGGGGAGGTTGGAGGGAGGAGAGAGAGGGAGGAGGAGTAGAGAGGGGAGGGGGAGGAGAGAGGAAAGGGAGGGAGGAGTAGAGGAGGGAGGAGAGGGAGGTAGAGGGAGAGGAGGAGAGAAAGGACTTGCGGCCGCTCCTGAGGTCCTCGATGTCAGGGGGAGCTTGTTAATCACCAGGTTAATTAGACCATCACTGGCCTGAGATTAATAACACAGGTGTGGGGGGGTTGACAGCATGGCCACCCCACTCATCCCTCTCTCCCAGTACGACATCCCTCATCCCTCTCCCCCAGTATGACGCCCCACTCATCCCCTCTCCCACCAGTATGACGCCCCCCCTCATCCTCCTCCCCAGTGACACCCCCACTCATCCCTCTCCACCAGTATGACGCCCCCACTCATCCTCTCCCCCACCAGTATGACTCCCCCACTCATCCCTCTCTCTCCCAGTATGGCCCCCCTCATCCCCTCTCCCCCAGTACGACACCCCCACTCATCCCTCTCCCCAGTGCAACACCCCCACTCATCCTCCCCCCAGTACAACACCCCCTCATCCCTCTCCCCAGTACAACCCCCCACTCATCCCTCTCCCACCAGTACAACACCCCACTCATCCCTCTTCCCCCAGTACGACACCCCCTCATCCCTCCCCCCAGTGGCTTACCCCTCATCCCTCTTCCCCAATGCAACACCCCACTCATCCCTCTCCCCCAGTACCCCGACACCCCCCACTCATCCCTCTCTTCCCTCTCATGAAGAAGCAACATCTCGCCTAATTACTTAGGGACAAGTAGACTCATCCCCCCTGAACCTTGAGCCTAAGAAGATTAAACCTTGGGAGGATGGCCATGTGGAAGATACCTGTTCTTCTAGCCCTCCACCTGGCACTTACCTGTCCTTACCTGGCCTGACTTCGTCCTTACCTGGCCCATAACCTGTCTCCTTACCTGGCCCATAGCCTGTCTTTACCCTGTCCTTACCTGGCCCTTATCCTGTGTCCCTTACCTGAGTCCTTGCCTTGCCTCGCCTTATCCTGAGCCCTTACCTCGCCCTTTCCTCGCCCTTATCCTGAGCCCTTACCTCGCCCTTACCTCCTTATATCCTGAGCCCCTACCTCGCCCTTACCTCGCCCTTACCTGAGTCCTTACCTCGCCCTTACCTGCCCTTATCCCTGGTGCCCACCTGGGCATACCTCTCGCCCTTACTTGGACCCTTACCTCGCCCTTACCTGAGCCATACCTCGCCCTTATGAGCCCTTACCTCTCTGTGCCACCTGAGCCCTTACCTCGCCCTTGCTTGAGCCCTTACCTCGCCCTTACCTCGCCCCTTACACAGAGCCCCTTACCTCGCCCTTACACAGGCCCTTACCTCTCGCCCTTACCTCGCCCCTTACCTCGCCCTTATCCTGATCCTTACACAGGCCCCTTACCTCGCCCTTGCCAGGCCCTTACCGCCCTTACCCTGAGCCCTTGCCTGCTTGCCACTTGAGCCCTTGCCTCGCCTTACCTGAGCCCTTACCTCGCCCTTGCCAGGCCCTTACCTCGCCCACTACTTGAGCCCTTACCTCGCCGCCGCCAGGCCCCACCCCTCGCCCTTACCTGAGCCCTTACCTCCCTTGCCGCCAGGCCCTTACCTCGCCCCTTACCTGAGCCCTTACCTCGCCCTTACTTGAGCCCTTACCTCGCCCTTATCTGAGCCCTTACCTCGCCCTTTCCTCGCCCCTTACCTCGCCCTTACCTGAGTCCTTACCTCGCCCTTACCTCGCCCTTATCCTGATCCTTACCTGAGCCCTTACCTCCTTATGCGCCAGGCCCTTACCTCGCCCTTACCTGAGCCCTTACCTCGCCGCCGCCAGAGCCCCTTACCTCGCCCTTACCTGGGCCCTTACCTCGCCCTTACCTCGCCCTGCCAGGCCTTACCTCGCCCTTACCACAGGCCCCACACCTCGCCCTTGCACTTGAGCCCTTACCTCGCCCGCCCACCTGACCCTTACCTCGCCCTTACCTGAGCCTTACCTCGCCCCTTACCTGAGCCCTTACCTCGCCCTTACACAGGCCCTTACCTCGCCCTTACCACAGGCCTTACCTCCCTTACCTGGGCCACCCACCTCGCCCACACTGAGCCCTTACCTCCCCGCCCTTATCCTGATCCTTACCTCGCCCTTACCTGATCCTTACTTCGCCCTTACTGAGCCCTTACCTGAGCCCTTACTGAGCCCTTACCTGGGCCTTACCCCTGAGCCCACACCTCGCCCTTACCTGAGCCCTTACCTACCCTCTCCACCTAGCATTAAAATGTGTTATATTCATATTCATTCAGTTTTATATTTTAATTAAGAATGGCGACATTTTAGTGACCACGTCTTGTGTGTGTGTGTGTGTGTGCAGTGATCAGTGTGTGTGTGTGTGTGTACAGTGATCAGTCTGTGTGTGTGCAGTGATCCAGTCTGTGTGTGTGTGTGTACGGTGATCAGTGTGTGTGTGTGTGTGTGTGCGGTGATCAGTCTGCGTGTGTGTGTGTGTACATTAATCAGTCTGTGTGTGTGTGTGTGTACGGTGATCGGTCTGTGTGTGTGTGTACGGTGATCCAGTGTGTGTGTGTACAGTGATCAGTGTGTGTGTGTGTGATCCAGTGTGTGTGTGTGTGTACATTGATCGGTGTGTGTGTGTGTGCAGTGATCGGTCTGTCTGTGGCCATTTTAAGAATCTCTTAGTCTCTTCGCGTTTGCCCATATTAGGTATATGAATATTCACGTATGCACACATTTCCGAATATATGTATGTATGTATGTATGTATGTATGTATATATGTATGTATGTATGTATTCAGACAGGGATTATAATAGTCAGGAATATAAGAGAGAGTCATACCTTGTCACACCTTACACTAAAAACATCTGATTCACTAAACACGTAAATAAACAAACCCACATCATGAACCTCTTGTTGTGTTTAAGCTTCCGTGTTTAAAAATACCCCCCTCCCCCCCCCACACACACCAACACGAGAGATAAAACTCGCTTGGATGGCTTACTCCTTATCAAACCTAATCTAGTAACTAATGTTTAATTGAAGTGTTTGTCGCGGCTCAGGATTCTTGTTTTGATAATCTGAGAGAGAGAGAGAGAGAGACGATGGTAACCTTTTCTGTTTTTCTATTCTCGTTTTCTGTTGGATTTTATATTATTATTAGTATTATTTTTTAAGGGGGTGTTACGTTATTTTTTTTATTTCGGCGTTATTTTTGGTTTTGATGCTATCTTTTTCATTGTCTGTTGCAGGATAGAGATGGGAGAAAGAGCGAACAGGATGTGGTAGTGGACGAGCCTCAGGTTGGTGGCATTCCGTGGTGGTGGTGGTGAAGGGATGGGATGGGGAGGGATGGGAGGTGAAAGGGAGGGATGATGGGGGGGAATGAAGGAGCCATGATGAATAAGTTAGTTTGAATTGGATCTTTTTTTTATTATTTAGATTCAAAGGAGTTGGTTTGGTTAGGTTAGGTTGGGTTGGGTAGGAGGTTATTAGGCCACGGGTCACTGGTTCAATGGTGTGGTTCAATGGTGTGGTTCAAAAGGATGGTTCAATGGTGTGGTTCAATGGTGTGGTTCAATGGTGTGGTTCAAAAGGATGGTTCAATGGTGTGGTTCAAGGGTGTGGTTCAATGGTGTGGTTCAAAAGGATGGTTCAAGAGTGTGGTTCAAGGGTGTCTTTCAAAGGTATGGTTCGAGGGTATGGTTCAAAGGGTGTGATTCGAGGATGTGGTTCAAAGGGTGTGATTTAGGTCCTCCTCGACTGTGGTGAGGAGTGGGACTTGAAGCAGCTGACCCTTGACATCAAACGTGGGAATCAATAAGTCACAGAAGAAGAAGGCGAAGGAGGAGGAGGAAGAAGAGAAGGAGAGAGAGAAGGAGGAGGAGAAGAAGGAGAGGGGGAAGAAGGGCAAAGAGGAAGAGGGGAAGGAGGGAAATGGAAAGGAGAGAAAGAGGAAGGTTGGGGAGTAGAAGAAGGAGAAGAAGAAGGAATTGGAAGAGAAGAAGAAGGAAGAGAGAGGGATGAGGTTAGGTTAACTGTGGTTCCTTGATGACTTTTAATGACTGTGGTGGTGTAGGGTGCGTGGTGGTGGTGTAGGGTGCGTGGTGGTGGTGTAGGATGCGTGATGGTGGTGTAGGGTGCGTGGTGGTGTATGGGGTGTGTGGTGGTGGTGTAGGGTGCGTGGTGGTGGTGATGGGGTGCGTGGTGGTGGTGATGTGGGGTGTGTGTGGGGGTGTGTGGTGGTGTAGGGTGTGGTGGTAGTGTGGGGTGTGGTGGTGGTGGTGTGTGGTGGTGGTGGGGTGCGTGGTGGTAGTGTAGGGTGCGTGGTGGTGGTGTTAGGTAAGGGTGGAGTTGTCGGGCGAAACCTCTAATTATCTTATCAACACAGGTTACGGTGTGTGTGTGTGTGTCTGTGTGTGTGTGTGTGTGTGTCTTGGGACCTTTACACAACATAAGAATAGCGATGTGTAGAGAAGGGGGGTAGGGGGAGGGGGAAGGGGGGTTGCCAGCACTCGTAACAACAGGTGCGTGTGTGTGTGTGTGTGTGCTTGAGGTACACAGGTGTTGGTAATGAGAGCAGCCAGGTGTAACATCGTGGTGCCAGGGAGATGTGAGACGCCGTTTAACATCACTACACACCTGAAAGCCTGTGTGGTGAGTCCTACCACCAACAGATGGCGTTCACTTGACCATAGCAAAATAAACGACCCAGAGTTGCACAATAGGAATCTTGCAACACCCAGATCACAATTTGCAACATGAAACGAATTTAAAGGTAATAATATAAACATTTCTTCAACATAGTTTTTTTTTGAATAGTGGATTGTTAGAGTAATGTTAGTGTGATGAAGTGTGTATAAGACATGCAACTGTGTCACCCATACCTGAAGGTGTAGTGATCGTTGTTGTCCGTCCGTCCGTCTGGGGTCTACCATAGCTTCAGTAGATTGCTGTGAAGGCTTACACCAGGTCTGTCTACACCACCTGGAAGGAATACAGCCATAATGAGATTACAAACAAATACAGAACTCTATGCTGTAATGTGACTAAGTGTGTTCGTTAGTCCGTGTGAGTGTGTGTGTGTGAGTGTGTTTGCCTCCTGCTCTTGTAAATTTCTCTCTACCGTCATACGCCCGCCAGCACTGACCAACCAAGGGGGTAACGCTGCCAGTCGCCCCAAACTCTCATGCAGCATTGAGACCAGAGGTTGGGATCGGCAATTAATGAAGTAGTTTGGGTTTAACGATAAGAGGGGGGGGGGGTTGTTAACTACCTTGTTAGTAGGAGAGGAACAAGTGTTAGTGATTAAAGATTAGAATCCCTCGGTAAAATACTTGCTGAAGGGAACTTACAGGTATATACGTTAACTGTTAGGAAGGATTTTACCAGGTAGAGGTAGTACAATCACCGGGGCGGGGCGGGGCGGGGCGAGATGTGGGAGGGATGGATGAGGCAACAGGATTTCTCTGGGTGGAACGGTACGGGGCGGAACGGGATAGGGCGAGGCGGAACGGAACGGGGCGGGGCGGGGCGAAACATAATGAAGGCAAGTCATAACAATATGTAAACCTCGTGAGCTAACAGCCTCCCTCCTCAACCCTCACACACCCCCCTACCCCACGCACCCACCCCCTCCCCCCACACACCCCCTCCCCCCACACACTAATTGAATTTAAACAGTTTTGTTCATCCACTGGAATTCATTAGTCAGGGTTGAGGCTTGGTTATGTCCACACGCTTGGGGTCTCCTCTTCCTCCTCCTCCTCTTCTTCTCCTTCCTCCTCCTCTTATTCCTCTTCCTCCCTTTATTTCTCTTTTTGCCTCCTTTTCCTCTTTCGTCTTCTCTTCTTCCTCCTCTTATTCCTCTTCCTCTTCTTCTTCCTCTTCCTCCACTTTTTCTTATTCCTCTTCTTCTCTCCCTCTCCTACTCACTTGTTTGTTTATTATTATTCTTCGTTTCTGTCGTTTATTCAGTTTTTTACTTCTTATCCTCTTCTTTTCTCCCTCCTCTGCTTACTCCCTCTCCTCCTCCCTTCTGTTTTATCTTTCCTCCCCTCTTTTCCTCCCCGGCTTCCCTCCTCCTCCCTCCATCTCCTCCCCTCCATATTTATACGTGTTGTCTTCCCGTTGAGACTTACAGGAAGAGTGTGGAGGGGGGGAGGGGGGAGGGAGAGGGATGGGGGAGGGGAGAGGTGTGGGTGCATGGGGGAGGGGAGAGGTGTGGGGGGTGTATGGGGGAAGGGAGAGGTGTATGGGGGAGGGGAGAGGTGGGGTGGGGGGGGAGGGAGGTGGGCATGGGGGAGGAGATGTGTGGGGTGCATGGGGGAGAGGTGGGCATGGGGGAGGGGAGAGGTGTGGGGTATGGGGAGGGGAGAGGTGTAAGTATGGGGGAGGGGAGTTAGACAATTATATTTATGTATTATAATTTAAATGATGATGATGATGATGATGATGATGATGATGATGATGATGATGATGATGATTGGTATAAGTGAGGGTGAATCAGAATACATTGTTTACATACAAAAAAATACATTGTTTACGTCCTTGTATGAGTGAGGGTGGGGTCAGAATACATTGTTTACATACACAAGATGCCAGAGTATTTTTTGGGTGTTTATGTTTTATTGTTTGTTTTTGTTTATGAGGAAAGCAAACAATCTCTGTAATCTTATATGTTTGATGTTCCCTCCGTGTGTGTGTGTGTGAGAGAGAGAGAGAGAGAGAGAGAGAGAGAGAGAGAGAGAGAGAGAGAAATAATATGTATACTGTATATTACATGTGACCTGCCCCACACTGATCTCCCCTGCCCCACACTGATCTCCCCCCCACACTGGTCTCCCCACCCCACACTTATCCTCCCACAGGATCTCCTGCCCCACACTGATCTCCCCACCCCACACTTATCCTCCCACAGTGATCTCCCACCCCACACTGGTCTCCCCACCCCACACTTATCCTCCCACAGTGATCTCCCCACCCCACACTGATCTCCCCCCCCACACACTGATCTCCCTGTCCCACAGTGGTCTCTCCGCCCCACACACTGATCTCCCCCACCCCACACTGGTCTCCCCACCCCACACTTATCCTCCCACAGTGATCTCCACCCACACTGATCTCCCCTGCCCCACACTGGTCTCCCCCACCCCACACTTATCCTTCCACACTGATCTCCCCACCCCACACTGATCTCCCCGTCCCACAGTGGTCTCTCCCGCCCCACAATGAGTGATTCTGGTCTCCCCACAGGACTCAGTAAGCCCAGCGGTCAACGGTACCACGTCACCACGCGAGAACGGCGTCGCCAAGAAGACTCCGCCCCTCGGCTCCGTCAGGTGAGTACCTCTCCTTCCTCCTCCTCCTCCTACATCTCAGTCTCTCTAACTTTTCGTCTCGTTCTGTCTCTGTCTCTTCCTATCACATTTCCTCCTCCTCTCTGTCATATTGTTGTTATAGAGTTAAGGTTATAGTATTAAGGTTATTATTAGCGTTAAACAAGTCACTGAGAAGAGGTTGTTGGTTGGCTGGTATGGTTGTTGTTGTTGTGGTGTGTAGTAAGTAACGCCCTGTGTTGTGTTCTTCACAGCCCCAGGAGCTCTGGCAGCTCCTCGTCCACGCCGCAGGCCAGGAAGGAGGAGAAGCCCGCAACGCCCAACTCTAAAGCGCCCACGCCCACCTCCTCTGGCGCCAGCGCGGTCAAGCCCGTCGGCAAGGCGGCGCCCCTACCAGGCGTAGGCTCCTACCCCCCAGGCTACCCACTACCTGAGGCTGCCGCCGCCGCCGCTGCTGCTGCCGCCGCCGCCGCTGCTGCCGCCGCCGCTGCCGCAGGATCCGGTGCGCCCTACCCATACCCGAGGCCGCCCGCCCACCCGCAGGCCGCCCCACCCTCGTCCCTGGACATACACGGACGCACAACCTCCCTGCACACCCTCCAGGGCGGCAAGCCGTGAGTACCTCCCACTTGCCTCCTGACCCGTGACATACCGTGCCAACAGTGCCTCCTCAGTGATCAGTGCCTCAGTGACACAGTGCAATATTATCAGTAATCAGGAGCTCAAGGGATTGTACAGTCGTGGATATCAGAGTTTGCCCATTGTATTCATATTATTGTCATTATTTTTTATAATGATCATTGTTGTTGTTGTTGTCAGAAGGTGTGTTTGAGCTGGCTGCACCAGAGTACAGTAGTTAGTTGAGGGCAAACTTGTGTTCCCGACTCTACAGCCTGGGACAGTGGGAGCGTGCTGACTTGAGATACGAGAGGGAGTGGGACTCATCGTAGCGTGCGTGTGTCTTGGGCAGGGCGTACAGCTTCCACGTGAACGGCGAGGGTCAGCTAGCGCCGGTGCCGTTTCCTCCTGACGCGTTGCTGGCGCCGGGGATCCCGCGGCACGCGCGACAGATCAACACGCTGCACCACGGCGAGGTGGTGTGTGCCGTCACCATCAGCAACCCCACCAAGTACGTCTACACGGGTGGCAAGGGCTGTGTCAAGGTGTGGGACATCAGCCAGCCTGGGTCTAAGACTCCCGTCTCACAACTAGACTGCTTGGTAAGTTGTGTGTCAAGTTGTACCTTGTGTGGCACTTAACTCTCCTGCTTGTGTGTCAAGTTGTACCTCCAATTTTAGCTGCATGTACCCACTTGTTGTTCACAAATCACCCTACAAGTAGCATCTCGAGTTAATACCCAGAGTAGCACTCGTCCTCCCACAGGTAAGTTATACCTTCAGTGTCGCGCTTTGTGACACTTTCTCTTCTTGCTTGCTAACCCTGACCCCAAGTTGCACCTCAAGTGTGAAATATGACACGCCACCCCCACCCCCCGCTTGGCATGTGACCCTTGAGTATACTGTATTTATTTGGCTTTTACCTGACACTCGAGACTTAAACACTCGAGTCGTCCTCCTGCAAGTGCCCCCCCAGAACCCAGGTAAGTGTCTCCCGTGATTACACCTGACCTCCCTAATTGACGGTGACAGTGAGTTCCCTGGCACTGTCTCCGCTGCCAGGTGAGGCGGGTTGGTTATTGTTCACTTAGTTACACCTGACCCACCGGTGTTCCCGTCACCTGGTTGATATCTTAAGGTGAGTGGAGCTGTGTATAAACATGACACTACACCGACAAAACACATCACAAAGACCATATCTAAAGTAATCAAACATCAACTAAACATTAAATAAGACGACAGATTACAATGCCCGGTGAATGTTTATGAAGAGAACAAAGAACACATAGAGAACACATGAAGAACACAGAGAGAACATCACCTTAGATCATGAACACAGTGTCAGGGATTCACACACACACACACACACACACACACACACACACACACACACTATCGGCTAATGCACCTGATGATTTAAACACGACTTGGCAACCCAGACATGTAAACACAAGCTCTTGAGGTACAGTGGTCGTCCTGGGAAGAATATCACTAGAGAAAAAGGTAGATGAAAAGAGCCTCTGTGTTTGTCCTGTTAGAGAGAGAGAGAGAGAGAGAGAGAGAGAGAGAGAGAGAGAGAGAGAGAGAGAGAGATAAAAAAAAAACGATGTAAAAAAAAAAACAGGCAAGTTTCTTTCGGTAAAATGTCATTAGCAAATTCTAATTCTGGCGAGAGGCATTTGCAAACACTGGGCAGGGCAGAGCAAACACGACCAAACATAGCTTGTGTGGAAATCATCAACCTTCTCTTGTATTTGTATGTCTTGTCCAAACATACTTAACAACTTCTTAGTTTTGGAGTCTCTCTCTCTCTCTCTCTCTCTCAAAAATTTTACCTCATTGGTGGTAAAGGATTTTCCTCCTTATGTCAATAGAACTTAAAGGTGAAAATACGAACCACCAGCATCATCATCAGGTTTAGGGTGAGGGAGGAGGAGAGAGAGAGAGGGGGGGAGGGGTGCTTTCTCTCCCTCAAGGCGGCCCTCTCACTCCCTTGATGGCATCCCACTCACGCTGGAGAGGGTTGTAGTAGAGCACTTTAATACTTGGCATGGAATTTAATTTTAGCCCCTAAAGAAAACGAGGAGGAAGATGTGGTGGAGTGGGAGGAGAGGGGAGAGGGGTGGTGGTGGAGTGTGAGTGGGGGAAGGAGAGGGAGGGAGAGGGAGTACAGACAGACAGACAGACAAACAGACAGACAAGACAGTATATTATAACCTAACATCATCCATTCAACTGTATGTATGTATGTATGTATGTATGTATGTATGTATGTATGTATGTATGTATGTATGTATGTATATATGTATGTATGTATGTATGTATGTATGTATGTATGTATGTATGTATGTATGTATGTCTACCCTTAAATGTAAAATAAACACCTGATTATTCTCACCAGGTAAATATTTAATTAAAGACAATATACCTGCCAGGAGCTACAGGTAAGTCAATACAGGTAAGTCTTTCCTTAATTAATTATCGTATTATTATTAACTCCTTTTAATTTTTTTTACCTGTATTTTGTAGTGAGTTTTAAGTGTTATGTATCCCTATGTATTAACGCATGCATGTGTATATTGCTTAGTTAATATGTATACTTCTAATTATATGTATACGTGTCATCATTATTTATATAGTTGTCTTAATTATGTATACTCATTATGTATCAAGGTAAGATGTAATTAAGTGTGTCCAGGTGATTGATACACGAATAGGTTAGGTTTAGGTTTAGGTTAGGTTAGGTTTAGGTTAGGTTAGGTTTATGTTAGGTTTATGTTAGGTTAGGTTAGGTTTATGTTAGGGTTATGTTAGGTTAGGTTTATGTTAGGGTTATGTTAGGTTAGGTTTATGTTAGGGTTATGTTAGGTTTTTATGGGGGGGTCAGGTGTATAATGTGTCGTGGGATTACCTGGAGATTAACCACCCCTGATCTAATCTATCTTACCTAACTTTTGAGGAGAGAGACTCATATTATTGACATATTTTGAAATGTCTTGTGATACGCTTCTCCTTCCTTCCCCCTCCTCCTGCTTCTCCTTCCTTCCCCCTCCTCCTGCTTCTCCTTCCTTCCCCCTCCTCCTGCTTCTCCTTCCCTCCATCTTCTACCCTCCTCCTCCTTCTGCTCTACCTCCCTCTTCCCTCCTCCATGCTTCATCGTCCTTCCTCCTCTTGCTACCCTCCCTCCCTCCCTCTCCTCCACTTTTATCATGTTTCCATCGTTCTCTCTTTCTTCTTCTCTCTATTGTTATGTATTTTTTATTCACTTACTATTGTCTTATGATTTGTCTCGTCCCTGTTTTTTGTTATTCTTCCCTTCCTCTTCCTCCTCCTCTTTGTCGATTTTCGTTATTCTTCTTCCTCTTCAACCTTAAACCTCTCTCCTTCTCCTCCTCCCTTGACTGTCTCTTCCTCTTCTCTTCCCCACCTCTCATCTCTTCCCCACCTCTCATCTCCTCCCCCCTCTCTAATCTTCTTCCTCTTCCCCCCTCATCATCTTCCTTCTCCTCCTCCTCTTACCACTTTTCTCCCTGATCTTCTTCACCCTACACTTCCAGGAAAAGGGAGGAGGAGGAGGTCAGTGAGTGTGAGGTGGCGTCCTGGAGAGTCTAGTGGTCACCACATATTTTTATCCCTCCAAAGAAAAAAAAACAACCCGTGATGGTCTTGGTTGTGGGAAAGGAGGAGGGGGGGAATGTGGGAGAGGGAGATGTGGGAGGGTAAAGTTGTGGAGTATACGGTGTTCCATCACTTGTTTGTTCTGGAAGCCACTAAGCCACAGAGAGAGAGAGAGAGAGAGAGAATGTTGGTAGGCTTTGTGTAGTGTTGGCTAGGCTACAGTGTTGGCAGTGGTAGTATAACATTAGCTAGCCTGCACTAACCACCCAAATCCCACCACTACCACCACTACCACCACCAGATGCCACCCTGACAGCCACGGACTGTTTAGCTGTGGGATCCCAGCCACATAATGACATACTACGGCCTCAACATACCACCACATACCGCAACATACCTCCAGGCTCGACCACCACCACCACCACACACACACATTTAACCCCGGTACCTGCCCAGTGCACCTGTCAGAATTAATGGCTGGGATGTACAGTATTGCGTTGGGAGTACTGCGAACACACACACACACACACACACACACACACACACACACACACACACACACACACACACACACACACACACACACACACACACACCGGGGATATGCAATTTACTCTCCCAAGTTTACTGTTAATGTGTGATGCATCTTTTAATTGATTAGTCAGGTGTTTATATACAACAATTTAATATTAATAATTACTTTTGTAAATTTATATGACAAGACAGGTGATGGTGTACTAATGATTCAGGTGTTGATATCAGGTATGAATTGTTAGTTAGTAATATATTAGTTTTACCGCCGACGTGTGTGTGTGTGTGTGTGTGTGTGTGTGTGTGTGGCGGGTTTATAAAACATATTCACATTGTCAGGTGTGTGAGTCATTAATTATGTGTTGTGGAGCCAGTGAGATGTTTATTGAGGGTTATAAAAGGTAAACAGGCTTAAACACGTCAAGTCAAGCCAGGTGTGTCGACCCATCAAGCCAGGTGTGTCGACCCATCAAGCCAGGTGTGTCGACCCATCAAGCGAGGTGTGTCGACCCATCAAGCCAGGTGTGTCGACCCATCAAGCCAGGTGTTTGTGGTGTTCTTCAGGGTCAGGATAAAGATATAGCCTTAATGAAGAGTTAAATCTATTTAACATAATTAACTGCCTAAAGAATTTGTACCTTAATTAGTGTCCTGAGTGAGGGCCATTTGGCAGCCTTTACCTGTGGGGGGGGTGGAGAGGGAGGGGGTGGATAGAAGGATAGGGAGTAAGAGGAGGAAGGAGAAAATTGTAGAGGAATGGGGGAAGGGAAGGGAAAGGAAGAATAGAAGGAGGAGGGATGGGGGAAGGAGAGGGGGGAGAAAGAAAGGGAGGTGAAAGGTAAGATAATTTGCCAAGATTTTTCTCCCCCAACTGAATATACATATTAATCACCCAGACCTTCACCCCACACACACACACACACACACACACACACACACACACACACAGGTTCTTTAGCACTGATTATATCTTCCTCAGTGTGAAGGTATTGAGGCCGGTAGCAACAACACCTCACAGCCAAACACAACAATAAGATGAAAGTCCTTGTAACTCTCTCTCTCTCTCTCGTTGTACTACCCGCAGTGTCTGACCATCACCTCCTCCTCCTCCTCTCCTCCTCTTCTTCTCCTCTTCTCTTCTCCACTACAGCGTCACAATTTCTGGTACACTCTAAGAGGTCTTTGTATGTCCACAGCAACGTTGATCCTCTTGTCCTGGTCGACGATCCTCTCCTTCTGGTCGATCCTCTCCTGGTCGATCGTCTTGGTCAACTCTCTTTGTCTGGGTTGATGATCCTCTTGTCCTGGTCGACGATCATCTCCTGGTCGATCCTCTCCTGGTCGACTCTCTTTGTCTGGGTTAATGATCCTCTTGGTCTTTGTTCGTCCCTCTTCTTCCGGTCGATCCTCTTTGTGCTGGTCTCTTTATTGACCCTCTTTATCATGTCTATTACGGTTATTATTATTTTATATTTCCTCTCTTCCTTCCTTTATTTCTTCTTATGCTTCACCCCCCCACTGGTTTCCAAAGGCCATACTCCTCCTCCTCCCCTCCCAGAAGTCACCCACCCTCCCTCCCTCCCTCCTCCTCCTTCCTTCCCTCCCTCCCAAAGTCACCCACCCTTCCTCCTCCCAGAAGTCACCCACCCTTTCCTCCTCCCCTCCTTCCTCCCTCCCTCCCTCCCAGTCACCCACCCCTCCTCCCTCCCTCCCCAGAGAGTCACCCACCCTTCCCTCCCTCCCTCCCTCCCTCCCTCCTCCCTCCCTCCTTCCTTCCCTTCCCTCCCCTTCCCTCCTTGCCCCAACTCCCTCACCTTATTCCTTCCTTCATTCCTACGGTGAAAGCTAGGGAGGGAGGGAGGTGAGGAAGGGGTGTGGGAGGAAGTGGAGGGAAGGAGGGAGGGAAGGGAGGAGGGAAAGTGGAGGAAGGAGGGAGGAAGAGGAGGTGGAGGGGAAGGAGGGAGGAGTAGAGAGGAGTGGAGGGAAGGAGGGAGCCAGGAGAATGGTTGTTACTTTATCAACAACATAAACTCGACGAGATTGTGGCGAAGAGCAGAAAATGGCGCGGGTATCTGAGGTGAAGTGTCTCCATAGTGGCGCTCCCTCCCTTCCTCCTTCTCTCTCCTCTCTCCTTCTCTCTCTCCTCCTCCTCTCTCTCCTCCTCCTCTCTCCTCCTCCTCCTCCTCCCTCCTCCTCTCCTCTTCCTCCTCCTCCTCCCTCCCTCCTCTCCCTCCTCCTCCTCCTCTCCTCCTCCTCCTCCTCCCTCCTCCCTCTCTCTCCCTCCCTCCTCCCTCCTCTCTCCCCTCATCTAACCTCCGTGTGTGTGTGTGTGTGTGGTTCAAGTGGTCATGTTGACACACCTGCAGCCCGTCAAGTCACGCCCACACATGTGACACATTTACCACACCTGTCAACACAAGGTATGTGGAGCGTGTTGACCAAACCTGTTTAACAAGCGAGTGTGGTGGCGCTAACGAGCTGTTGTGACGTCATACACTCCTTACCACAAGTGAGGTAGACCCGACGAGGTTGTTGACACAGGGCTGTTACACTCACTACCTCAGCCACACACCAGAACCCGACAGAACCCAACACACTACACCAGAACCCAGAAACCAACACACTACACCACAGAACCTACAGAACCCAACACACTACACAGAACCCGACAGAACCCAACACACTACACCAGAACCCGACAGAACCCAACACACTACACCAGAACCCGACAGAACCAACACACTACACCAGAACCCGACCCCAACACTACACCAGAACCCGACAGAACCCAACACACTACACAGAACCCAACAGAACCCAACACACTACACAGAACCCGACACTACACCAGACCCAACACACTACACAGAACCCAGGCCCAACACACTACACCAGAACCCGACAGAACCCAACACACTACACAGAACCCGACCAGAACCCAACACACTACACCAGAACCCGACAGAACCCAACACACTACACCAGAACCCGACACACTACACCAGAACCCGACAGAACCCGACCCAAAACACACACACGAACAGAACCCAGGAGGAGGCCAGCACGTCGGGTCCTACACACACCGCCTCACATATAAAACTTCGGTAAACAAGAAAATGTGACCCGATCAAAGTTTCCCGGCAAGTTTGTTAAACCAAGCCAGATGTGACCTGCCAGAGAGGGCCCGTGTAGGAGGAGGGAAGGAAAGGGAGAGGTGGAAGAGGAGGGGTGAGGAAGAGGCGGGAAGGAAAGGGAGAGATGGAAGAGGAGGGTGAGGAAGAGGCAGGAAGGAAAGGGAGAGATGGAAGAGGAGGGGTGAGGAAGAGGCGGGAAGGAAAGGGAGAGATGGAAGAGGTAAGAAGGAAAGGGGGAGGTGGAAAAGGAGGGATGGGGAAGAGGAGAGGTGATGTGAGGAAGAGAGGGAGGAGGAAAGGAATGAAAGAGGAGGGATATAAGAGAGAGAGAGAGAGAGAGGCAGAGTGGTGGTAGGGTGTGAGAGAAACTGGTGGTAGGGAGGTGAGGAAGAGAGAGAGAGGGAGGGAGTGGCGGAGGTGAGGGAGAAGAGAGAAAGCCCCCCAGGGAACCATAAGTTAGGGAACAGCACTTGTGGGGTCTTCATAACACCCCCTTCCTCCCCCCTCTCTCCCCCCCCTCACCCTCATATATACCCTCCATCAGCTGTTGCCACCACTGAGGAGGAGGAAGAGAAAAGGGAGGTGGAGAAACATAGGAAGAATGGGAGGATTGTGTTGGTGGGAGATATAGAGAAGAAGAGGAGGAGGGAAGAGGAAAAGAAAGAAGAAGAAAAAGGAGATGGAGAAGATGATGTTTCCTCTTTCTTCTTCTCCACATTCTGCTACTTCTTCCCCTCCCCCTCCTCCTCCCCTTCCTTCTGCTCCCCCTCCTTCCCTTTCTTCTCCTCCTCTCTCTATTCTCTTCCTCCCACAACATTTTTTTCGTCTCTTTTTTATCATTTACTACTATTGTTCTCTGCCACCACCACCATCACTCACGTCTGGGGTGGTGGTGGCAGGAGGAAGGTGGTGGTGGTGGCAGCGGCACGAGGTAAGTGGTGGTGGTGGCAGCGGCGGAGGAAGCTGGTGGTGGTGGCAGCGGCAGGAGGAAGGTGGTGGTGGTGGCAGCGGCAGGAGGAAGGTGGTGGTAGTGGTGGTGGCAGCGGCAGGAGGTAAGTAGTGGTGGTGGCAGCGGCAGGAGGAAGGTGGTGGTCGTGGTGGTGGTGGTGGTGGTGGCAGCGGCAGGAGGAAGGTGGTGGTAGTGGTGGTGGCAGCGGCACGAGGTAAGTAGTGGTGGTGGCAGCGGCAGGAGGTAGGTGGTGGTGGTGGCGGCAGCGGCAGGAGGTAGGTGGCGGACATTAGTATTCAGTAGCTGGCCGCCCCCGCCTAGACACGGGCCGCCTCACCGATGGGATTATTGCAATTTGGACTGATGGCCGGGTCGGGTACATATGGGGCCGGCCAGTGAATGGCTGATGAGGCACCGCTGGGCAAACTCGTCCTGGTTTTACCACGAGATTGGCCTGTTGGGGCCTTGTTCATCACCCGCGTGAGGAGACTTAGTGAGAGAGAGAGAGAGACTGCTCGTTGATGTGATACAACTCATTACCATATTAATACCTTCTTGTGTCTCTTGCAGCAACGTGACAGTTACATCCGGTCAGTGAAGCTGTTGCCCGATGGCCGGACTCTCCTGGTGGGCGGGGAGGCGTCTACCCTCAGCATCTGGGACCTGGCCACGCCCACGCCCAGAATTAAGGCTGAACTCACTTCGGCGGCGCCAGCGTGTTACGCCCTAGCCATAAGCCCGGACTCAAAGGTGTGCTTCAGCTGTTGCAGTGATGGCAACATTGCCGTGTGGGACCTGCACAACCAGACTCTGGTGCGACAGTTCCAGGGACACACCGACGGCGCCTCCTGCATCGACATCTCTCCCGACGGCACCAAGTTGTGGACGGGCGGCCTCGACAACACCGTCAGGTCATGGGACCTACGCGAGGGTCGTCAGCTGCAGCAACACGACTTCACGAGTCAGATCTTCTCGCTGGGTTACTGCCCCACCGGGGAGTGGCTCGCCGTGGGTATGGAGAGCTCCAACGTGGAAGTTCTGCACGTCAACAAACCAGACAAGTATCAGCTCCACCTGCACGAGTCTTGTGTTCTCTCCCTCAAGTTTGCCTCAGCTGGCAAGTGGTTCGTGTCTACTGGCAAGGACAACTTGCTCAACGCCTGGCGCACACCTTACGGCGCCTCCATCTTCCAGGTAAGTTCCCCTGTTATTACCTCTGTTGTGACGACATTACGTTGTAGTAATATTCTAGGGGACACTTAGTGAATTACATTATTATTCCACATTAATATTAATAAATAAATGCTTCTCGACGTAGACATTCACTGTATTTGATTTCTTTCTAGTCAATAAACACTTAATTGTCCAAGTAACACAGTACGGTAACACAAGTAACACAGTAAGGTAACACAGGTAACACAGCAAGGTAACACAGGTAACACACGTAACACAGTAACACAGTAAGGTAACACACGTAACACAGTAAGGTAACACACGTAACACACCATAACACATGTGGTCTTCTTCCCAACAGTCGAAGGAGTCGTCGTCGGTGCTGAGCTGTGACATCTCTGCCGACGACAAGTACATCGTGACGGGTTCAGGGGACAAGAAGGCTACCGTCTACGAGGTCATCTACTAAACCCCACAACTTCACGAGACAAGTATCACCCCCCACACAAAGTCAACCTCGTCAGTTTGATCACAAGCTCTTGAGCCGATGTTCCAATGAAAGACCTTGAGAGCTCTTGGGTAACCTGTCATCTTTCCAAGCTTTAATTAGGTTTTCTGTCGTGCTAAGTCATCGCTGAAGAGTCAACAGCAGACAAGTGATTAGCTACGAGATCTTTTACAGCTTCGCCGTCTCAAACGTACTCGTACTTGGCCAAGTTCAATATAGTTTAAAAAAAATTAAATATTATACATTATATATTGAATAATGGCGTCTTTATGAACACCAGTGAACGAGATCGGCTCCGTCGTTCACCCCAAGACTGAGGTGACCCCCTGCCTCATGTTCGTTCAACCTGTGACCTTCACCCGATCACTCACTCACCTGGAGACTCACCTACTCTACACCGCCGCTCAAACATCTAATACTTTGACGATTTTCCAAACTCCCGGACACACGAGGATCTTAACCCCGAGCCTCCTCAGAGTCTTGCCGGGTAAACTATCTGATTCCTCACAGATGTTGAGGTTAATACGAGCAGAGACACACCCACCCCCCGCCCCCGCCCCGCCCCCGCCCCGCCCCGACCCGCCCCTTACTGATGCAACATTAAAAAAAGATAAAATCGACAACCAAGACGCCAACACAATCTCTCTGCCATACAGTGTAAACATTACATTACACGTGTACATAACTGAGGTGGATGTTCTGATGACTCGTCGCCAAGACCACATTTGTTACATCACAGTAAAAGAATAAACGGGACAGAAGAAGAAGAAGAAGAAGAAGAAGAAGAAGAAGAAGACTGATTGGTTATGTTAGTGTGTGGGTTAAGGACACAGTGTTGTAGGAGGAGACAGAGAGAGGGAGGAGGAACATGGCAGGTACTGTACAGGGAATGTTAAGCAGAGGCGAACTGTGGTGAGGTGTGTGTGTGTGTGTGGTGCTGGTAGTGGCAGTGATATATAGTACAAGATCATAACTGTTTTATGTTGTAGTTTATGAAGAACAAAAGACAATCTGCATATTAATGTTATTTTTTGCCATAGCCACACAGTGTTGAGTGAAGGCTGAGTTGAAGAAACACTTTGGATTGTGTTGGTTGTGAACAGTTTACAGTGGAAGTGTCTGTGAGTTATGGAGTGGATATAATATTGGCAAAGAAGTGGATTTATTGGATACATTGTGGACGCTGTGGCAATGGAAATGAACCATACAATTATTACGAATTGTGAGAACAATGTCATACACCATTGCTTAGTGTGTTGTGAAGAGTGAACAAGTTAATAATGAAATGACGAGAAAAAAAAAAGTGAAATTTACAGAAAAGAAAATTTTTTTTTACAAAATTTGAACCGTAAGACACATGACTGAAACAACTGGACGAAGTATTTGTAACCAGACAACAACCTGGTGATGTGTGTGTGTGTGTGTGTGTGTTGATCAGGACCTGTATTCTGTCTTTACCACACTGTCTTGTTTATTAGGGGGTAATATTCAGTGGGGTCCTCACCACCCTGAGTACAATAACTGGGTGCGTGTTCATAACGAGACGATAGGAGGTGGGGTCAAGTCTGATGTATGTATTTCTTTATTCTAGCATAGAACAAAAAAACCAAATTATTAGGGTCGTGTGAGACAGTTTGGTGGACGGGGCCTGACTAGTACCTCGTCTCATACTGTCCACTACTTGATGTGAGGAGAGAAAATGTAAAAAAAAAAAGTTTTTTTTTTTTCTTGAAAATTTATTTATAAATTTTTGATAAAGAAATATTATATGTGGGACTGTGTGACACGTTGGTTTAGTTTTTAATAAAGGATCGTTGACGATTGCTTTGTTGCGACTGTGATAAAGTTTATAAAGTAATAATTCTCGCGTAGTTTGATGACGTGGACTGAAGAGGCGAGACCACTAGGGGGGTACTGAAGAGGGGGCGGGGGGCAGCCAGTACTGGGGTGGAGCCTCCTGTGTACTGGGGGGGGAGGAGGAGGTAGACGACGCCCCTACTGTGTACTAGACCCCCCCCTCCTCCCCCCCAGTGTGACCGCCGGGGTTCCAAAAGGTTCCAAACTCACACACTAGGAGAGGTTGGCGGGGGGCCTGCAAGCATTACCCGTCTGGTTCTGTATATATAAAAAAAATACTTCAACTCTCCATTTTTCAGACTACTATTTTATTCATTCATTCACACATTTGGTATGCAGTTCATTAAGAGAAAAATGTTACATTATGTAGATTATAATGAAAAGGTGTAGGTGAGGACTCGCGCTAAAACTGACTAGCTGAGTAATCAACCAGGACTCCACCATGTAACTCACTCACCCCCCCCCCCTCAGAGGTTTTAAGTTAGAATTCTAAAACATTTACTGGGTGCTGGTTAACTACGTGGTGTACTAAGCCAAACACTCCATCACTTGTAGTTCAGAGGGAAACCAATTACTACAGAGAAGTAATTATTCTTCACGGTGTCTACCTTGCAGAGCTTCAGAGGCCTTTACTGTCTCCTGGTATGTTGGTCACTTTCAGTAAATGTTGCAGAAATCGGACTACTGTACACACCAGATTAAAGGCTTGAGAAACAACAACACACCCTCTCTCTCTCTCTCTCTCTCTCTCTCTCTCTCTCTCTCTCTCTCTGCCACTGTTGTATGTAGCAAGAGTGCCAGGACATTATGGTGTGTTACTTTGGCACTCCTCCCACCTACACTGTGCCTCTCCTCCCACCTACACTGTGGTACACCTCCCACCTACACTGTGCCTCTCCTCCCACCTACACTGTGCCTCTCCTCCCACCTACACTGTGGTACACCTCCCACCTACACTGTGCCTCTCCTCCCACCTACACTGTGGTACACCTCCCACCTACACTGTGCCTCTCCTCTCACCTACACTGTGCTACTTCTCCCACCTACACTGTACCTCTCCTCTCGCCTACACTGGTACACCTCCTACCTACACTGTGCCACTCCTACCTACACTGTGATGGTACATAAATCCCAGGACAGAAGCCACAGGGTGTTGAGTCAGGTGGTGTTAATAAAAGACCTTTGAGGTAATTTCAACTAAAGAACAAACCGTTTTACCAGCACAGACGATAACAATGAATCTTAACACAACAGGTCTATATATATAATTTAACATCATTAATTAACAATACAACACAGAGACGAATACTAAACAACACTAGTCTCATGTCTCAAGCAACACAAATTCCCCACCAAAAACAAATGAAGTTGTGTTATGTTTCTCAAGACTTTTATCTGGCAACAACTTCACCCATTATATAGTTCACCAACAGGGATACATTTTGCAGTCTTTGTGTTGGACAGTTTTATACAGAGAGATGAATTGAATCGCTGTTAAAAGGTCGGTATTGTGAGTGTTTTGTTGAGTCTCCACGACACCGGGAGCATTGGTTCGACGGCTTACTCAAATATTGTCTCCAACTTTGACATAAATATCTGTATGACTAATGAAGGAGGTGGTGGGTGTTGAGGACCTACTGAAGGACCTAATGCTCGGGAGGGATGTAGGATCCTTCAGGTGATGGTAGAGGATGGTAGGACTGTGGTCATTACCTCATTACGAAGGACTTTTTTTTTTCTTGAAGACTGTAGGACTACTATTATCGGTAACTGAAGGACCTCATAAGTCCCCATCTCCCTCCTCCCTGCCGGTGACTTCAGACCTCCTGGCGGTGACTCACAAGACCACCAGAGTCCTTCCATTACCTCGCCTGTGACTCAAGACCCAACCCCCCCCAACCCCGAGTCCCCATTTGCCAGTGACGTCAGAGCAGTCACCACCACAAGAGACATAATAAAGGGGACACTTACCACCCCTTACCTAGTCCCTTACCTAGTCCCCAAGACCACCAACCAGGCCGGTGACTTAAAAAAGGGGACTCATTAACCCCCTTACCCTACTATATCGGTACCTTACTAAGTCCCCCCCCCTCGCCAGCGACTTAAACCCCCCTCCCGCCCCCTCTCGCCAGTGCCCAAGACAAAGGTGACTCACGGAGAGCTGTACACCCGCCGCTACGCAGAATGTATAAAAAAAACTAAATAAAAATGGTTCATGTAGAGAAAGTTATTCATCTTATTCAGTGTGTGCCATTATTCTGAATTTCAATAAAGTGTTTATGTGCAATACAGACTGTATAGTATTTTATTAACCCCCGTGTTTATTGTTTTAGTATATAGAGTGGTCATAAAAAGTCACAGTGTGCACCTGTAATAAACAGTATACAACACCTGTGTACACCTGTAAATGAACAATATAAAACACCTGTACTTGTTATACCTACATTGTTAATATATCTTGTTCCACTTTTGAGTAAATTGCATCTACTTCCAACATTTACTTTTAGTTGAACAAAGTAGTTAACTATGTAGATATAAAAACTACAGGTAGACTATTTAATTACAGGTGAACAGGGACTTTATGCCGGGGTGAATATAAAATAAAACTACTCACATTACAAATGCATTACGATGAGTGTGACAACGACTACAGTTACAAAATACATTATTGATGAAATATGATAAAAATAAACCCTGCCGTTGCAAATTACAGTGATACGAATAACAATTGTTGCAAAGGTAATGAAATGAATTGTTGTTCCACGAGAATAAAAAAAAAATGTTGCAAATACATTAATATACAATAGATGCAAATGAAGCTTTATGAAAAAACTAGTTGTAAATTATAATGATGATTACTGTTGTTGCAAATGATGTTGAAAATGATAATGATGATTACTGATGTTGCAAATGATGATGATGATGATTACTGATGTTGCAAATGATGATGAAGTTGCAAATAAATATAAAAAATAAACATAATTACAAAGAAGAAAAAAGAGATGAAAGAATAATGAGAACAGAATAAATACAGAATAATGAAAGACTAACAGGAGTGAAAAACAAGGAATAAGATAGATGGAATACATTACATAAAGACTAAGAGACAGTATAAGAGCTAATCTAGGTATAATGATATAATGAACTAGAGACGCATATAACATTTAGAGTATAATGAATGATAGACTACGTTAAATTATAAAACTCAAAGTATAATAGAAGATAAAAGAAAATTAGAGTATAATGAATTAATAAGATATAAGACCTTATTAGTATGATGACAAGGATTATATAGGTGGAAGCATTATAGAAGTTGGAAGATAAAGTATAGAGAATTATAGAAGAGGGAGAATAATTAAGAATACAATGATAAGAATTATATTAACATGGAAGCATAATAGAGAAAATTATAGGAGTGTATAATGAAATATATGAGGATTATAGAAGAAAGTCTAATAGTTTGACTTAAAGTCTAATAAGCAACAGTTTTAGTAGAGACTTAGAAGATTTACAGTCTTAATATTTACAAGAATAATTTACAGATTTACAAAAACTTATTACCTGGAAGGCTGATTTAAAAAGACTTACAAGACTAATTTACACAATTACAAAGACTTATTAAGAAAAAACAATTATGACTTTTACAGACTTACAATGACAAATTTACAAACTATTTTTTACTCATTTACAAAGATTTATCGTTTTGAAAATATTTACACACAAATTTACAGACCAATAACTGGACACTTTATTTTTTTTTACAAATTTACAAAGGCTTATATCCGGTTTACAATGAAGAGAAGGAAACTGGTATTATGACGCTTAAAACTACGTACTATAACCCTGAATTAATTAAGTGTTTGTGTGTGTTTGTGTATTAAGGTATATGTTGACCTGAAGGTGAGTAACACAAACAATAATTAAGCCACACAAACAAACAAACAGTGTAAGATCCAAGCGAATAAGAGAACACAAACAAACAAACAAACAAACACAGTAACAGATGTAAACAAACAAAAAGGAGTGACAAACAAGAACACAAACAAAAACCACCAACACGCCCAAACAAACAAACACAGCCAATAAACAACAACAACAAACAAACAAACACAATCATTTAACACAACACCCGACACATACTGTATGCAAATTAATCCCCACTTAAAAAAAACTCTTTTTTATCAACATATTTTCCAACATTTAAACATCACTCACCATATTTTCCAACATTTAAATATCACTCACCATATTTTTCCAACATTTAAACATCACTCACCATATTTTTCCAACATTTAAACATCACTCACCATATTTTTCAACATTTAAACATCACTCACCATATTTTTCCAACATTTAAACATCACTCACCATATTTTTCCAACATTTAAACATCACTCACCATATTTTTCAACATTTAAACATCACTCACCATATTTTTCCAACATTTAAACATCACTCACCATATTTTCCAACATTTAAACATCACTCACCATATTTTCCAACATTTAAACATCACTCACCATATTTTTCCAACATTTAAACATCACTCACCATATTTTCCAACATTTAAACATCACTCACCATATTTTTACTGATAGCCGTAAAAATATATATATAATAACTAACAATAATTTTTACAAGATTAAGATAAAAATATATAAATAAAAATAATAATAAAAAAATAATTTAATAGTTTAATTTTAGATACCAAATAAAAATATTAATTAAGCCATAATATTTTCTAAAAGACTTTGAAAATGAAATGTCTAATTAAGCCATAATGTTTTACGAGTATTAAAACCAAACAAAAAAGGGTTGTGTTTACTCTTTATCATATTGTTAAAAGATATGTCTAATTAAACAGAATATATTGTGTTTTTACGAGTTTATTTAAATATTTAAGTCAAGTTAAGGAGTTATATGTCTGGAGTCTTCAGTATGTCTGTTTTAAGGAGTTATATGTCTGGGATATCAAATAGTTACCTTACATTAGTTGATTATTAAATTGGATTACCTTTAGATTAGGCCCATAGTATATTTTTCCTTAAGATTAGGTTGAGTTGGGTTAGTTTAGGTTAGGTCTGGTTAGGTTAGGTCAGGTCAGGTTTTTGCCTAACTTGATGAGAGTTAATTAGTGACTCGTCCAGACTACAATTAAGGGTTTAAACTCGACATACGAACATTTAAGTATGATGGATGCGATTTACGATCCTCTAATTATGATTAAATTAGGCTGAGGTGCCTTTGAGTAGGATTCGATTCGACTTATGAACATTTGAGAATGCATGATTTGATTCGACTTATGAACCTCTTAAGCATGAATAAACTCGACTTACGAACATTTGATTATAAAATTCAACTTACGAATCTTTAGATAACCAGGTTACTGTACACGACCACCAGTACACGACCCCCAGTACACGACCACCAGTACACGACCACCAGTACACGACCACCAGTACACGACCCCCAGTACACGACCACCAGTACACGACCCCCAGTACACGACCACCAGTACACGACCACCAGTACACGACCCCCAGTACACGACCACCAGTACACGACCCAGACAGTGTGTGGTGATCACTTCAGAATGTTATACGTGTTAACAAGAGTGTGAGGAGGCGGCTGTTGGAATGTCGACTGATGACAGGTGAGGTGAGAACAGGTGAAGCAGGTGTGACAGGTAAGGCAGGTATGGCAGATACGGCAGGTGTAATTGATATAACAGGTGTGGTAGGGTGAGGCAGGTGTAGCAACTGTGGCAGGTGTAATAGGTATGATAGGTGTGGTAGATGTGATAGGTGTAGTAGGTATGACAGATGTAGCAGGTGTGACAGATGCAACAGGTGTTAACAGCGGGCAGAGAGAGAGAGAGAGAGAGAGAGAGAGAGAGAGAGAGAGAGAGAGAGATTCTCCGCCACACTCTCTGGGGGCTCACAAGCGGCCAAACTTTAATACAGGTTTAACAAGTATCAAGAAAAACTCAACTTGGTTTAATGGTGAGCCGAGTCTCCTGTGTTCAACAAATATAATACCAAGGCGGTGTTAATGGACTCGACAAGGTGAGTTAAAACAGTCCCCTACCCCTCCTCCCTCTCAACCCTCACCCTCCCTCTCACCTACCAGGGCACTATCACGGTGTTAGTTAAATGTTGGTCAGGTTACTCCGGTAGTCTGTAGGTAAAGCTTCGCCTGGCAGCCTTACGGTATTTATAATGGCAAAAACGCGTTCGTTATGATATCGTATCTCGGGGAACATGATTACGGCGAGGCAGTGTTGGTTCGCGGAGTGGCAGGTGGGGAGGGTGGTGTGGCAGAAGAGAGGGTGGTGTGGGGTGGGTGGCAGAAGAGAGGGTAGTGTGGGGTGGGTGGCAGAAGAGAGGAAGGTGTGGGGTGGGTGGCAGAAGAGAGGAAGGTGTAGGGTGGGTGGCAGAAGAGAGGAAGGTGTGGGGTGGGTGGCAAGAGGGAGGAAGGTGCTGTGATAGACATCTGGTCAGGCAGGCAGGCGGGCGGGTGTTGGTAGTGTTGGTAGCGGAGGTGGTACTGGTGGTGGTGGTGACTGTGTAGTGGATGTAGTGATACAGGTTTTGTTAACTTTTGGACATAATACCACACACCTGTACCTCACCACCACCACACACCTGTACCTCCTCACCACCACACACCTGTACCTCACCATCACACCATACCACCACACACCTCCACCACACCTGTACCTCACCACCACACACCTGTACCTCACCACCACACACCTGTACCTCACCACCACACACCTGTACCTCACCATCACACTATTTAGATAATAATAATAAGTATTACTCACAACAGCAAAGCAACGAGTCGATCCTATAGTAAATAATGATGATTCAACCACTTTAACACACACACACACACACACACACACACACACACACACACACACACACACACACACACACACACACGGCCTCAGTCGGTGTTAACAATTATATTTCTCAACAGGTGACGTGTGTGTGTGTGTGTGTGTGTGTCCCGCTGAGAATACACACGGGTCTTGACTTTCGTGTCGCTAGAAATGTGAAATAGTTGCAGTGTCGTCCGTCTGTACTCTTGACTTTTAACATTTCTTTGTCGGAGTTGCTGGTCAAAAATACACACGTGAACAACATCAGCTGACCGTTGGCACACCTCCACGCTCACAACCAAAGTGCTGTACTACCTGTGTGTAGAGTGCCACGCTTATACCTGTGTGTAGAGTGCCACCTTATACCTGTGTGTGGAGTGCCACGTATACCCGTGTGTGAGTGCCAC